ATTCATCACCTTAAACAAAATTGTGTGAATACATCTCATATTATTTTAATCTAGTGTGAGCGGCTTTCATAAGAACCCTTCACACTTCACACTGGCGTTATCATTCCCCTTCACTCTTGTGATGGGAATGTTGATCAGAGTCTACCACATTGTTACGGAGTCCTCCTTCTTATGCCCTAGTCTCTTCTGTGCCAACTCACAAATGTTGTGGTACTGCTTGCTTTGATTAGTTTCAATGTTGAACCACACCGTTTGTGGGTTGGCACACAAGAGACTAGGGCATAGCAAATAATAGACTTGGTATTAGGGATAGAAACAGGATAGACGCGGCGAAGACTGGAGCTAGTTGGCTGACAGTAGGCCTGTTTTACCATAAACATGGTCCATGTAGTCCATGACCATGAGACTTATTCAGAGGCTTTAGCCTCGAATAAGTCATCTAGACCAAGGGGATGGGTAATGACGCCTCGAGTAGCACAGATGTGGCGGCAGGGGTCGAGTGAAATACTTGAACCAGGGAGATAGCAGACGGATCCTATGGGGCAAGAGGGAGACTGTGATAAGACCTATGGAAGGAGGACTGCAGATGCAGATCAACATTCCCAGCACAAAGGTGAAGGGGGATGAAAACGCCAGCGTTGAGTGTGGAGGGCACACCACATTACAGGTAAATAAGCAAGGGAAAAAAATAAATACTGATAGTGAGGGCGTGATACGAGGATATAGGAGAAGTGAGTAGCCCATGACAGGAGAGATACCACAACTGTTTAGCACACATTTGGTCAAAGGATTGGCTTCACTTGTCTCAGATAGCAGTAGTGAAAATATTATATTTTTATTAGTCTTAGTTTACGTAACTTTATTTCGAGGGAGCAGAGGTATGCTTTAATATTCAGGCAATACTCTGGGCTGACTGGTTTCTCATTCTGTAATGGCAAGTTTTCAAGATGCCACTTCCATTTATTTGTCCTTAGGTAGAAGGCCGTCTGTGGAATAGGGACTAGATGTGGTAAGTCTAGACCAAAAGCAGTGTTTGTTTGTGGTCATAATTCTCAAAGACGGAATTACTTGTTCCGCATCCTATGTCTATCACTTTTTTCGGCTGGGAGATAGACAGTAGTGGATGGAAGTCAAGTTCTAATACATGCAATAATTGAGGAATGCATGTCACCACAGTAGATGAGCAGCATTGATGGTCTGATGATCCCTACGATGAATAGAAAATTAGTTCTAAAAATACGCTTTTTAGAAGTCATCGCTTCTGGTGTTCATTAACATCCCAGGCCTAGTGAAGCGCTATGAGAGTCACTTGATCTGTGAATGCCATCAATTCCGTCTCATGCTGAGCATCCTCATGCTCCAAAGTGGAACTGGTGAAGCTACAACTTTTCAATTTCGCAACTATTCTTGGCTCTATACCCTATTTTCCTCTGTACAGACTTACGCTCTCTCGGCCACGGTCGCTGATGGCTCGCAAACGGCCCTAGCACCAGTCACAATCAGAGTGATTAGGGCTCCACTTCGCTATCCAACCTTCTCTCAGAGCACCTACTCTTACACCTTTGCAGAGCTGACAACTGGTGCCCTCGTTCCAGGGGTGAGTTAAAGACAGCTTTTTCCGTATTGTTAGCATTGACGGGCATACAAACCATAATGTAATGATCACTGCTAAAATTTACAACTTATTTGCCCTTAAGTCAATTCAGAATGTTTGATTCACGTAAGCTTCATTAGTTATAAATGAGATTAACGGAGTTTGGATGAAAAATCTGAGATAGCATTGCTGTGGCGAATAGACTGTTATTTCGATATCAACAGAAGATGATGGTGTATTCCTGTCGTCCTGTCGTCCTGCAGTCGTTTGATATTAGAATGGCGTTCAGATCGACGCAGCCAATGTAGATCGGGTAAACTGAAATATTTTAATGAAAGTAAACACTTTATCAAACCGGCTAATGCTTAAATGCAAAGTGCATGCACACAAAAAAGGATGCGAACGTCTTTTAGGCAGCAAGCCTATGCTAAATGCAATAGAAGAGTAAGTTCTAATCATATTAGTTGGAGAATAAACTTCATATATAAATTATCGACTGGTAGCCTCAAAAACATAGTCATCAAGGGAAAAAAAATTAAATATGATTAAAGTGATTTATTTAATACTTTTCCATGTCAATCTAAGTGCTTGTATATTTGGGTTTTTACTTTTGTAAGGGAGGGTAAGAAACCATAGTAACTGAAAAGTCATAATAGAATGTAATGCCAATCCAAAGTACTCAATGTCGAATGGCCCAAGAAATTGTTTTACCGCGACTGCGTAATCTCAGTACACATCGGACTGAGATAACAAAGATAAAAGGAGTCATTAGTGAGTTGACTAGTTAAGTCGCCTCTTTTTTCTAGTATTTGCCTAGGTCTGTCAAGCATGCAGAAGTAATCATGCCCAACCTTATACCTTTCCTTATTTCATTCAATTTATTTCCTTCTGCTACTTACTATGATGCATTTGCAGCAGTTATCACTTTGAGTTTTATTCCCGGAAGCACTCACGCCCCCAATATGCATGTACTGGGATTAAAACGGAAAGAAACTTTTTGAATCCTTTTATTCAGTTTTTTTATTTGCTTTTTTGTTTATCTATTGCATAAACTAGAACGTTTTTTTAGGTATTAATCCAATTGGTCTATAGGATCCGCCCTGCGCATAAGAGAATGATAAATCAAGATGGAAAGATACCATTTTGGTGGGTAACATGATTAGAATAGCTTGTTAGTATTAAAAGACCTCAGAATAATACCCCTGCGCAACTCCTTATACTTTCTGGAATAGAATGCATTTGGCTCTATCATTGTTATTGGCGGATCTTCACTGCTTCCACGAGCATTGGAGCTCAATCGTAAAGAAGCAATCGTATTTGACCTATTTGCTTGCTGCAGCCCATGGTTTGCATAGATGGGACAACTCCTCATAAAGCAAACGGATATGATGCATTATTAAACTTGGCTCAAATTAAGTCAAATCTCTCACTAACTGGAAACCGATTTCCTTGAGGTCCGTTCGAGCCCTGTACTTATATCAGTCTCACCATAAAGCAGAGGAAAGATTGCCTCGGGGTAGAGACAGTGGTATTGAACCAAGAAGTCCACTCTGCATTGGAAAAGCCACTTTATAAATACTTTCCATCGTACTTTTTAAACGGTATGTAAACTTTTTTAGATGTTTTTTACTGGGCTTTCCTCATACTTACACGTCTCTACAACCAACACCAAGCAGACCAAGACAGCTAACTGTAAATCTCATATTTCTGCGAATGTTAGCACGGCGTCACAGCAGCAAACATCAGCACAATGGGGACTCTTGCTCGGCCTTTTTGGCTTTGAAACAACTCTATTGTTATGTGTCCCCAACATTCTGATGATTAACATAGTTGCAGAGTTGAATTCCTCAGGGGATGCAGATCTAATAGTGAAGGAACAATATGTTCAGATTGTTCTTATAGGCACTGAGATTTGAAGCGCATACGACAAATGCTAGATCTTGTGGAGAAAAGGGAGGTTGCATGCCTGAACTTATCTTTATGGAAAAACTAGATTAAGAAAGTAGTTGCCAATATGCTCCATGTTCGTACGGTGATATAGAAATTGATAGTGATTATAACCCTCGCCGAAGTGACTAGTAGAATCGGTTTTGCATTTTACTTTAATGTAAAATGCATCCAAAAAGACTGGATTACAGTTCAGGTCTCGTCTCATCGTCTCATCAGCACTCACAGATTGGTTTATAACATCATAACTGTAGGCTCACAGGTAGGCTCATTGCCCTCTAAGACTTGTGATGTCATGTAAACTGATACTGACTGATTGAAATATGCTGTGCTAAGAAAAAATCCAAGTAAAAAAATTTAAGAGCATTTGGTCTCTTAATAAGTATGATAACTTACGCTTCACGCCTCACTTAGCATATGACTGATTCTTTAAAAACTTGAAGCACTTTAGGCCGCTTAAGGTAAGCAAGGACTGAAAATTGAAGTTATAACAGTGTAATGAGTAGGTGGCCTGGGGTGGGCCATTTACTTATCCCAAATCTACCAATAGCCTAGATGGGGACTGATTGCTTCACATTTCTTCCTCCGTGACTATTTAGAAAATCCACTTAAGTACATGGTACTAATTCTAAAGCTTATAATACTTTCGTTTGCACAAATGCTCTATGGTAATTAATAGTAAAGTAAATTTGATCATCTGAAAAGGAAACTTAATGGTTTTAATTAATTTGAATGTATCTTTTTCCTCGAAGGCTCTTTCTTCTTCCTACTGAACGCCAGCCTTGGGCCCGTTCAGAGTCTCAAGGCTCGGTAAAAGCAGTAACAAAGTATGTACAGTTGAAGTAATCTGACGATGTAGAGCCAAGCTTAATTGAATATTAACATTATTTGCGCATAACCTTTTTTTACAGATATTAGGTTTTACCTGGATAAGAGGAAATGGCTACCATGACTGATTGCTTCATTGACTGATATTGCTTCATTTTCTTTTCCAGCCAGCCGCTACAGACCCGAACATACCCGCCCTATTCACATATTCTATTGAAGGTGCATTCTCAACCAGCTTCTCCATCAGCAGCACGACGGGTGCACTTGCAATCGCAACCGGCCTCCCTCGAGACGCCCCAACTGGCTTCCCAGTGAGTTCAAAGAACCTTAAATTGACTGAATAACCAATCAACCATGTATGTATTCTATTTCCAGCTTCCATAGAGCCTCTTTTGATCCACCATGGCAGTGCATAAAATTGATGACTTTGTTCATTTACTCGAGTTTATGTTATGTAAATTCATATAAAAGCTCTAGCTTCCCTCCATTGCCTCGTTCATCGCGTGTAACTGCCACAAACGCAACACCTTGTTATTTCTCTCTCTCCATTAGGCCATAGCTTAAGATTTAACAAAAAAACTCGTACATGCTTCTGTGCTTCTTTCATCCGTTGAATTTTGATTCAGTATTTCTATCTGTGTAAGTTCTCCGATTAGTTAAGATAAAGACTGTGATTTAGGAGGGCTGTAAGAAGTGGCTAAGGTTTTAGAAAAAAACAGAATTTGCATTTTCTCTGTTACTTTATCATCATTTAAGACCTAATATTGACTCCAGTTCCATTCATAGATTGTCACAAGCCACTGATGAATAGGAGGGTTAGCACAAGGGACAAGGTGTAAGTGGAAGATGAGTTATCCGTGTAACTTTCTCACCAAGAAATGCATCCGTTCGCAGTAATCTACTTAATATTGCGGCCAAAAGCAAACAAGCTTCCTTATTGAATAAGAGGCATTTCGGGATTTTTTAGAAATTGCCTCTACTGTAATTTTGATAC